TCTGCACAATTACGAATTGTGCATAATTGCTACGGGGGAGTCGGCTTTATGGTGCTATTAGCAATAGTTCAGCTATATCACGGCAGGGTACACCAGAATTGGGTTTCACACATTATACATCGAACCCGGGCATAATCACTAAACGAACCCACCGCCCGTCGCAAATGGTTTGAAGTGAGAACTAAATGTATTGCTCATGTTAACGATTGCATGATTGGGATTTATCACATCACTAATTGTGTCGGGAAGGAAAATATGTCGAAAATAAATTTCGAAGATTTTATTCAGCCTTAGAACATGAGCAAGTCTTTGATCCAAGCTGATTTTTATTGGAGATAGCATAAACGTTACAAACATATAATTATATGAATATCTTTTGGGTTCAAGGGCATGCTCATACTGATAATTTCACTTTGAGTTTGAAAAATCAATCTTTTCCTCTCATTTTTACCATATTTGGCAGAAATCCAAAACATGCAAGTGTTTAAGGAAGAAAAATGGCACGTTGTCAGGCAACTGAGCCTGATATCATGGTGCATGATATTTTCATGTGAATATTTAACTTTTCTATAATGTGAAGTACATTTCAAGTGGGGCAGAAAGGACCCTTACCCTACCTTCTCCTTCCCTATATTCCCGTTAGCAAATACACAAAACGTTGAACGCCATTGATTAAACACGAAGTTATAAAGATCAGCTCCCGATCGAGTTTGGAATCAACAGCTATCAAATATGTCACGTGTAAGGCGATTAATGTAGCATCAAAACTGGCTACGAGAATATCCGTTCTATTTTTCAAACATTTTCCACAATTGAATGTTCTGTCAAAGTTTCTTTGTCGTTTAAAGCCACACTGAGCAAAATTCCAGCTATATGACGGCGGTCTGAAAATAATCGAGTCTGGACAATACAGTGATCAGCAGCATGAGCATCAATATACGCAGTTGTGATACTATGCCGTGTGCCAACAAAGTCATCGAGTGTGACCACCGGATCCTGTCAGTCGCCTCTTACGACAACCATGGGTTGCTGAAGATCAATTCTTATCTGGATCTTCACGGCTGTAAAGATTGAGGGATACCTCAACCATGCAAAATGATAATACTATTATCTTGTGCAACGTCTGTACAATTCAAAGAATCCCTCATCTATATTTGCACTGAGAGCACACATATTAACCTGTAATGGTGTCGGAACTGACTCAAGCCGGGATCACATGCATATTTGTGATCGTGCAACCGTTGGGGCAACCATTGGGGCAGGATGCGCTAACCTTTCCTTGTATCGTCACTATTTCATCACGATTCGTCAACACATGAGACAAAATCGAAGAATGGATTGTGTTTTTAATCAAAGTTTATTATGATTAAGGTAATAGCGTTTTCTCTTTTATTTAATCTCCATCTACTAGCACGAAAATAAAATTGGCCCACCAGATAGCAAGATGTATTAAATTGATATCTTTCGAAATCTTGGACTGTTTATGTGGTGCATTTTCAATATAGAAACACACCAAAACGACCAGCAGACTAAAGCTTTCAAGTCTGTCCAAATGGGTTTTTGAAAACTAAAGATTCCACACCTTCCAAAGATATCATACCCGTGAAAGTCCAGGTTAGAATATTGATCTTCAGTAACCCATGCTTGTCGTAAGAGGCGACTAACGGGATCGGGTGGTCAGGCTTGCTGTCTTGGTTGACACATGTCATCAATTCCCAATTGCGCAGATAGATGCTCATGCTGTTGATTACAGGATTGCCTGGTCCAGACTCGATTATTTACAAACCGCCGCCATAGAGCTGGAATATTGCTGAATGCGGCGTAAAACTAAACTCACTCACTCACTCACTCACTCACTCCAAAGATATCAAATACATCTTGCTTTACATGTGTTCTGACCTGTTCTAAATTTTGACACCAGAGAGCACTGTTTTACTGTCGACAAACACACTTTGTCGTTTTCTATTTCGATTCAGTTATTGGCTTATTCTTGTCAATACACGTCAATACAAAACGCAAAAGTGTGAAGTTCGAATTATTCCAGCTAAGTGACGTCTGTCTGTAAATGATCGATTCGAGACCAAACAATACAATGATCGAGTCGAGACCAAACAATACAATGATTGACATCGTGAGCATCAATCTTCGCATTTGGAATACGATGATATGCTTAAAACAAATCAGCGAGTCTGACCACGCTATCCCGTTAGTCGCCTCTTACGACAAGCATGGGTTACGTAAGAACAGTTCCACATCGAATCTTCACGGGTCCTCTTGACATTGACAAGTGGGTTGGTTCATCAACTGATTACTGGCATGATTCAGTCTTAATATCCCATACTGCAGTCATAAATATCTGTGTGTAGTTCATATATCAATTTTGTAAAACTATTGTGGATTCTTTACGAAAAAAGAGTCTATCGTAGGAAGTACGTCATTATATTGTACGGAATTGAGCCCTTTGCATTCGACGGATGAAAAATTGAAGACAATTTCACCATTCTAATCAATCTTATTAAAATCTAAAATAGCACATTAAGTCGATTAGAAAGAAATATATTCTGTTCCCATGTCTTAATGTTATATTAATGTGAAATGAAATGAAATTCTCCAGGAAAACGTTACTCTCCAATTGCAGTGCAAGTGTTATGGAGTCTCGGATCCGGTTGATATGTGACCTCCTGATATGAGGTCTCGAAACATGATCAATGTATGAGCTTCAGAACTGGGGTCTCGAAACTGATTTATGAGCGGGGACACAAACAGGGCCTCGTGACTGATCGATGAATGAGGTGCACAACTGTTCATTCTATGTTTGATTTACCGTAGAAGTGTACCATGCATAAGATACACAACTGTTTTTACATTGCTCAATGGCTGAAAGGGGAGATCTCCACACTGCACAGTGTCTAACATATACAATTAGAATCTTGGGAAGGTACAAATAGATTCACGAATGGGACATCTTCACTGTACAAATCTTTACACAATAATCTTGACAAGAGAAACAACTGGGATGTCAACACTGAACAACGTATTACAGAAACAGTTTTGAGTTTGACAACGTGAGCATAGAAGAAACACAAATAGGATGACAACACTTTTCAACTTACTATAGACACAAAGGATCTTTACAATGTACTCATAGAAGCGACGGTACAACGTATAATAGACCTACTTTGGACATTGTACAGCGTTTGGGAGAACGATTTAGGATGCCGATACTCTAAAACGTATATATAATTTATCAGAGACATAGAAATATGATAATATCAAAGACAGAGATATTTTTAAAATATAAACGGTATGGCCCCATGTCTTACAATGTTCCGTGTCAACCTTTGATCAACCTCTGTGTCTTGGCTGTCTCTCACACTGACAGCATGGCTCGTTCATGACATCAGTCGCTGATTTGTCGAACGTTCTCTCAGTGTTATTTTCCACTGTATTGTGTCAGCTGATATGAGGGACTGCTGGTATGACTTTGTTTGATGGGTTACTTCAGAAACTTTACGTCCTGCCAGGTAAAGGTGGGAGGAAAACCCGTATGACAGTAACATCAATGTCATTCTGTCGTCGTCAAAGCTTACTACTATCGTTCCTGAAATATTGCCATAGATCCTCTTTGTTTTGTATTGTTCATACGTGAAACGCTATAATTATAATGGATATTTAGGCATTTGAAACATAAAGTAAAGGTTACAGTTACACAGTCTTAGATTTAAATAATGGTAACTTTGGGGCTACAGTCTTATCGTATGGTAATCAAATGAAATTTCAATCAAATATTATTTCTCACGATATGGCTGAAATATTGCCGATGTGACTTTAAATATTAACTCACTCACTCAATCTAATATTAAACACGTACAATATTTTAAGGTATTTAAGTATATTGCGATCCCGAGTTGAACCACGCACTTGCTCCAGTGTACTCAGGCTTCGTGATTTTACCAACAATTCGGGTGGTTGGTCTTTGATAGGTACAGTACCTGTACAGTGATATAGCTTTTGAATTTCTATTTACGGCTTTGTACTGTGAAATGATTTTTGTTCATTCGTTATTTTCAGGCTGCTTGCAGATTAGCCTAGTGGTTAAAGCGTTCGCTCGTCACGCCGAAGACCTGTGTTTAATCCCCCACATAGGTACAATGTGCAAAGCCCATTTCTGGTGTCCCCCGCCGTGATATTGCTGGAATATTGCTAAGGGCGGCGTAAAACCATTCTCACTCACTCACGTGAAAAACCTTAAACTCATTTATTCAGTCTTCATTTATCTATAAAACATGTCGAAAAATATTGTGTTGTAAAATCCCAAGGTAGATTTGTCTTCCTGGTTTTACAATTACCAAGATATCAGAAGCGACAAGTTGTCATGGAAACGTACGAAATTACAGTATCAATAGTGATTCCCACCCATTTAACAACATCATCAACATACCTAAGCAGGCAATATTACCACTGATCCACGGAAAGCTCTCAACATTTGCTAAATGAATCTGCTTTGACTTGTGAAGATCGTTATCGGGTCATTAAAGCGACTAGAACGTTAATTACACGTGATTAAAGGGATTGCCATTTGTGGTTACACCAAAAATCATTTGCGACTGACTTGTGACTGATAACAGAAAATTCCATAAGTTCTATTGCGACCTGATTATTAAACCGCTCTCATTGGTCTCAGAGATCCCAAACGGGTCTCAATAGAGTCGCTTCTAGTTTACGAGTCTATATGCGAGTGTCCTACGACACAAATGCGACCCTCTTGCAACCATTACACATCGACTTGCTACTTCATTGAGAGTGTTGTACGAGCACTGTGGCGATTGTTGCGACCATCGGCGATCGCTGCGAGTGTATGCGACCGAGTTGCAACTCAATCAGAATTAGTAGGAGCAATACTTAGCGACTGAAAGACTCCTAAAACTTTGAGATCGATGATGCAACCGAATGGAGAGTCTGTTACGATCAATGAGACCGAATTAAGAGTGCAATGAGACATGTGCGACCGATGGAGAGTAATTGCGACCAAAGAGACCATGTTTGAGACTATGGATACGGCGTTGAGAATAATTTGCGAGACAGCGACTGATGGCGAGCAGAGGCCAATTTTCGGTCGTAACTCGGTCGCAAGCCCGCATTTCCAGGCCAAAAACATGTGGGAAGACCTTGAAGGCCAGATGTGTCGTTGTGTCATAAGGTGACACTAGACGTGTAGGTGAATGAAAAGATTACTTGAATATGACAGCATACATTTTGTAATTCATAATGATAGGCACAACCAATCACGTATCTGTGTAATTTTCGTGTATCTATATTTTCCAAAACACTTTCCATTACCATCAGAATTAGTGAGTTTGGTTTTACGAAGCATCTAGCAATGTTCCAGCAATATCATGGGGACACCAGAGATGGGCTTGACATATTGTATCCATGTGGGGAATCGAACCCGGATCTTCGGCGTGATGATAGAACGCTTTAACCACTGTCAACTTGAAAGTGAACTTACATTGTTGATGAATTGCTTTTTGGGGGGAAAAGTTTAAGCAAGTCCATTGCGGTTAAACATATGCTTACTTTCTTGCTTAACGCCTTATACACTCAAGGCCAAAAGAAAGTGGCCTGTGCTAAAAATCTGAATAAAAATCAACACAAACAAAAAATTTATTTCAAATTTATTTCTGTTGATAGTAAGGCCACTTGCTAAACATCAGGAGGTTATTACAACATCAAACATGAAGTAATGTTTAAGCAACATTTAATTAAATGACACTGGTATCAAAAGGCAAAGTGACATGTTTTCAGTTGTCTTTAACAATATCTGTGAACTCCAGATTAAAACACATTTGTCAACGTTTAGGTGTGCATTACTTAGTATCTTGTGTGTCCTCCTTCTGCATTGATACATGCAAGTATTCGCCGTCTCATTGACGTTGTGAGACGTCTGATGAAGGCATTTGGGATATTCTTCCATTCCTCATGAATGGCCTGTTCCAGTTGTCTCAGGTTTGCTGGGGGGTATAGTCTCATTCTGATTTTCCTGCCCAGAAAGTCCCAGAGATGCTCTGTTGGTGAGAGGTCAGGGGAACGAAACGGCCAAGGTAAAACGTTGATGTTATTGGTTCCCATGAGGTCTGTCACAATCCTAGCTGTGTGTGCAGGAGCATAGTCTTATTGAAATAATGTCCCTTGGTGTTGATTAACGAAAGGAAACAAAACTGGACGAATAACCTGGTCAGTGTATTGTTGTGCTGTCAGGTTGCCTTGAACTGTGACCAATTGTGTCATTTCGCCACAGATACCTCCCCAAACCATAACACTCCCACCACCATGAGCCTGAACCTCCATAACGCATGACGAGGCATGACGTTCACCACGACGGCGATACACACGTGCTCTACCGTCGTTATGGTATAAACAAAACCTACTCTCATCGCTGAATAGAACCCTACGCCAATCACGAAGCTGCCATCGTCGAACACGACGTGCCCAGATCAGCCTATTCAGGCGATGTTGACGTGTCAGCACTGTTCCACGGAATGGTCTGTGGGCTCGAATTCGTCGTCTAACTGTGTGTCTGCTGACAACTCGACCGAGTGCCGTTGATGCCGATTCCGAAACTGTCAGGAACCGATAAATGCCTCGTCTGGCTGACGTAGTGTCGCTTTTATCCTTCAAAAAACGTGTATTTCACGATTTGAACAAATTTCACGATTCTTTAGCTCGAAGTAAATTTTTCCTAATGATAACATTATTAGTGTGTTTTGGGGATTGTTAAACAAAAGAAAATATATTTCAACAATTTTGAATAAATTTCATAGATCAAAAATATAATGGGCCACTTTCTTTTGGCCTTGAGTGTATACCATCTGCATGATGGCGGTCTGTAGATAGTCTGGAACCAGTCAACAGATTATGCCTTTTTGTTAACTGGACTATTGGCTTTATGCAAAAGTGTTAAGTGGGAATGTTCATCCCTTGCCACCTCATGATTTTGTTTGTGTGATTTGTTTGTTTGCTGTACAAGTTGCTGTAATACAGATAGACGTTTGATGTCGACGGTGATTCGTTCACTCTTCTTGCGGTTACGTATTCATGGGATGGACAGTGAAAGTATATATTGTTCACGAGTCTAGTATGTATGATCATGACACATCGGTCATACGTGTTTGGACTTTGTGGTGTTTAGCCTTGATTAAGGTTTAAATATTAGTAACAGAAGCAAGCCTCGTGTATCACAATGTACGCATTTTTTTAAACACATAAAGTTCAGGTATTTCATATTACAAAACGAACAAATGAAAATATAATCTGACAAATTACAAAAGAATTCCGCTATTACAAAAGAAATGACATTGTTATTTTTCGTAATTTTACCCTTGGCTGAAGTCCAGAGGAAGATTTAAACTAAATCCTCAAGATCACAGTCTCTTCCGATATAGGAGACCAATAACATTTGCTTTCATAAAATTCCGCTCTAAGCAAAAAGAAAATATCACTACTTGAGACAGTTCTATTGTCTTTACAACATGCACCTAGAGAAAAAAGCTGTTGATTGTGCTAATAAGATTCCCTTTCGCCCTTACAAATTACTGTTGCTTTCGAACCTTGCTCCATTCGTACAACCCAGGGGGCAGGGCTTGTGTAGTACGCCAGGCATAAGCTCAAAATTGGCTCTCTTCAGCCAAATAATTTACGAAAGGTCGATTTTTTACAGGAAAGCATGGGACAATTAGTGCCTTCGGTAGAGTCACGCTCCTGCCTGGAGCCAGTGGATTTACGAATACAATTGGCTGAAAATCTAATAACGCTGAGCTCAAGGGTGCGCGGAAGTATGTCGAGGAAGCATGGAGACTCTTTTGGAATGTGTTCCTGTCAAATGTGGAGTCGAGGGCAGAATAAATATCCAATTCCGGACGCGTTGGTGCCTTTGAAGGAAGAGTATCGGAAGTAAACCAAGGTGTTAAGAAGGACAAAGCGTTCTTTGTTATGTGTCTCCTTGTGTAGACATTTGTCTGATCCTCCAGGGCGTTTTGTGTAATAAAAGTAAAAGTATTGAAATGTAGTCGTGAAAACTCCAATAACAATCACTGTTTAAGTTCAGAGCATGCTCATAGTCTCGATTGCTGAATATCAAATTGATCACACACTTGATGGCTACGGGGACTTTTCTGTGCTTCTTGCCTGTAGAATAGCATTGAGACATGAACAGTCGTAAAGCCTTTCAGTTCCATTTAACAAAATATCAGCATTCTGAAATCTACCAGCTATATTAGTCCATTGTACGATTCAGACTATATCACGAACATGTGTTTATGGATCACTATCAAATAGGGAGCTGACTGGGTGTTATCGAAGGAGAACGTTTCCTTCCACCGAGGGCACAGGTCAAAAACACATTCAAAAGGAAATCATATTTGAATGACAATACAAAACATAAAGGTAACTTGATGCAAGATCGTTTTGACAATATATGTGCAAATATTGCAGTTTTCAAATGAGAAATTATATATATTAAGCCCTTTCAGATAGACGCACTGGCGGATGGTCAAAGTGCACTTTGTGTGTCATGTTAGAGATTAACGGTTCTTGATAGCAAAAATAGCTACATAAGAAAATCCTTTGCAATGTCTTATTACGACCAACAATATAGTTTAACAATAGTCCGTAAAAAGAAATCCTTTACCATTTCTACAAATAGTACATCCAAGAGAGTACAAATAGTATAGCGAACAGTGAGCCTCCGTGAATGGTCTGCCTGGTCTACAACTTTTCCACAATTTAGAACCATTTTCCTTACTGTCTGCGGGGTCCATCGAACGTATAGATAAATCAATACCGAAAACCCCACCGACTCTCCTTCCCTTTCCATCACTCGAGATGCCGTAGGTAACATGTCGTTCCAACACAGTAAATCCCCTCAAAACATTTTCAAAACAAGTACAGCATTCTGGTTTAGTAGTATGACAATAGTTGTTCTTGGAACCTACACGTACATTATGATCTTCAGATGATTAGACAGATAAGCAGTAAGCCCTCATTTAAATATTTAGAATCTTGTATAAAATAATTGACGAAATCAACAATGACAACCTCTATTGTAGACATATCGTGTATGAGGCACTGGCACACGGGATGACTACATTGCGTCTCAAAATACAGTGTGGGAATTGATTGTAAATAACACAAGGTGCAACACAGTCCTTGATGATGGAAGCACAGACGGATGTTCCAAGTATTTTTTTAATAGCTTGACTTTGCACCTTACAGAGTGATTCTTCACTGATTATCTATATTGTAATTAAATTGGAAATATCTGATTACGTAACAAAGTATTATATAAATTAAGAGTAATACAACTTCTTTAACTGATTAGTTCATGGACTGATGTATTATGACCCACCAAGAAAGCCTGTCCTGTTCTGTCTAATAATGCTCTCGTTTTTTCAAGGACCTATATTGCTTTTGTCTTTAATGTTTTAAAGAATCAATACAAACAAGCTTCCAAGCTTACCCACTGTCCTGTCTCACACTCACAATGCGTAAATCCCTGTTTCCTCACCTTAATCAGTTTGCACGAATGCTGCTTGCAGTGGTGAGAAACTATATTCACTCAATCACCCACTCATCAAGCTGATCTTTATCTACTTAGGAGTTTCATGGTTTTAAAATGAGTTCCCTCAATGGCCCCAGCACAGGATTGAGTGTACGCTAACTCTATACTGTAATCAATGCCATCACTGCAAAGAAGAACCAGTCGGAATCAAAAGACTATAAGACACTCCTACCTCACCAGATCAATACTGAAATTCCAACACAGCAGATCTCCATGAGACACTAGCCCAGTGGAGGTGTGGATAGTATTTGTATGCACAACATATACACGTACATCATGATCTGAAGCATCTATCAAATAAGAAAGGGATGCTTCATTTAAAAACTTGAACACAGATAGAAAATACTGGTCTTCACCATCGACAACATCATCTATGACAACTTCTATAGGACTGGTTCTGGAACTATGAACTATTTCCTTAAGGGTAGCCTCCGAACATGTCTTCTTCACCTTTTTTCTCGGGTTCCTTTCTCATTCCTGTTTGACCCCACCCTGGTATTACTGGAATATTTCTAAAGGTGGCAACTGATTCACTCACCCATTCATTCACTCATATTCACTCACTCACCCACTCAGTTACTGAGGGTGGTTAGTATTCCTTTTTTCTGTTTTTGTTTTATCATCTTCTTAGACATAATGAGAAGATTTAAGCCACATCAAATTGTTTTCTGCCATTAATGTAACACAATGTTTGCCATCGATTCCTTGTTTTTGCCCGGTTTTAATTGGAAATCTGTCTTTGATGTCACCTGGTTTCTTCTATTTCCATTCCATTCTATTGTCAGTCCTTAAAGAATCGGGAACTGGATTATCTCGTCACAAGAAGGCAGCTGTTGCTGGAAACCATTTTAAATAAATAGTTTATTTTTAAGCGTTGAAGGATTGTCATTGTAAATAACACAAGGTGCAACACAGTCCTTGATGATGGAAGCACAGACGAATGTTCAAGGTATATTTGTATAACTTGACTACTTTGCACCCTGCAGAACGATTCGTCACTGATTATCTATATTGTAATTATATTGGAAGTATCTGATTACGTAACAAAGTATTATATTAATTAAGAGTAGTACAACTTCTTTAACAGATTAGTTCATGGTCTGGTGCATTATAACCCACAAAGAAAGCCTGTCCTGCTTTCTGCCACTAATGTAACACAGTATGTGCCATCAATTCCTTGTTTTTGTCATGTTTTAGTTGGAAATTCTGTCTTTGATGTCTCCTAGTTTCTTCTATTTCCATTCCATTCTATTGTCAGTCCTTAAAGAATCGGGAACTGGATTATCTCGTCACAAGAAGGCAGCTGTTGCTGGAAACCACTTTGAATAAATAGTTTATTTTTAAGCGTTGAAGGATTGTCATTGTTCTCGGCGATTAGATCTATTAAACTGGTTTTATGTTTTTTCACAAAGCCATTATGACTTTAAATGAGATCAAAACAAGTAAGAAGACCCTTGCCCTGATGACAATGATGACACAGTCCTT